ATACGAGAATTCAATACATTATTTGTATTTTTATGTATTTATTAATTTTTTAAAATATTTTTTCACAAATTTTTTACTTTTTAGATACATCAAAGTAAGGTGTATCTAAAAAAGTAAAAAAAATGTTTAAAATTTTAAAAATATTCACTAAAAACAAAAAAAAAAAAAAATACGAAAACCAAAAAATTCAGTTTTTAAAAAACTTAATCAAAAAAACTTAAACCAAACACACTGGTTTATTTTTATAGTTTGTGGAGTTCCAAACAATCCCGCACCCTTGACGTTCCGATGCCAATATAGAGATGATGATCTTGGAACTCATATCCTCAACTTTGGTGAAGATTTGCATTGGAGTTTCAGAATCAATTTTTTCTATACTACTCACTTCTTCTGTCATTTCTATCATTTCTGGTGGGGTTCTAAGCAACAAATGATGTGTTTTATTACTATACATTGGCCAATTATTGCAAAAGTCTAACTGGAATATATACTTGTTACTGGATAGTGAGACCGAAGGGATTCTATATCGCCAATGGTAATGCAACTTTGTTCAAACAACGTGATTGGACTTGATCAATATTAATTGTGAGTTAAGAGCCTATGTGCCTCCTTTCTTTTGATGTATCAGTAAACTACATATGAAGAATTATATCGTCGTACTTTACTTTTCATATAATTGTTTTAATCTTTTGCAAATATTACTCCCATTTTATTTTATTTTTTCTAATGTGATCTTTTGAAGGGTCCAACTGTACTATGAAACTAGTGATTTTAGGTTTATATTTAAAAAAAAAAATGATAAATATAGTCATGGTAAGCAAAGTGTCACGACCCAAACCCGTCCCTATGGGTTTAGCACCGTAACCGGCCAGTAATCCGTGGACTACCAAAGGCCTCTAAACAGATTAACAAATAATAAGGGGCTGCGGAAGCAATAATACAAAATAAACAAGGTCCAATGAGCTGTGATGACGTACATGGGACAGAACATTTCAAAACTTACTTATATATATAAACATTCCAATCCAGATACACAATATTTACAAGATATACACAGATTGTACTTCCCAAGACCTGACCTTACAGAACATAGGTAAAGACTAGCATGAAATACAAAACAGCCTTGGCATTAAGTTTCGATCGGAACCTCCTCGGGAGGCACAAGGATTGGCTGACAAAACGGTACAGAAGGCCATCAACTCTGGCCCTGGTCATGTGCTGGCTCACCTACATACATAATATAAACTGTGAGCGAAAGCCCGGTGAATAATAACAGAGTAAAGAAGTTATATGAATGATGTCCAGCGCAAGTTAGAATCCAGCATTTAAATCAGAGCATAATCAGACTTCAACAGAAACAGATTCATATACATTTACATATTCAGATTTTGCATAAGATCATACGTGGTACACCCATTAGCTATCAGAACAGATTGGTCCAGAGACCCACATACATAGTTGGTACCAACGACCATAAAGGTCCATAACTTGCGCGCAATGGCCACGGTATTGTTACCCCCAAGCAAGGGCCACGTGTAGATTGGCCGCGGTATTGTTACCCCCGGGCGAGGGCCACGTGAACTAAGGGTGCCACAAATACTTTTCAGAAAATTGGACATTCATTCATAATTCGTAAGATAGCATTTCAGAAAACAGATCATATCATACCAGTGAGAAAATACTTAAGTTAAACATAACTTTACAGAGTTATTACTCACAGATAGCCGCAGAAGCAAATCAGACGGACTGAACATATCAGATAAATCAGGCAGACAATGGCACGTAACGTACACAAGCACATAACATATACACATTGAAATACAATATTACTCCATGTATTTTTCAAATCTCTTATCCTCATTATAGAGTCTTAAACATGGCCTAGGAATGCCTAGGATGAAATGAGGATACAAAGATGCACTTTAAAACACTTTTCAAAACTTTGCTGAAACGGGGGTCCCGCTCGAGCATGGCCTTTTACGCTCAAGCGGACATGCAGACAAAAGGAATCCGCTCGAGCGTGGAGTACTCCGCTCGAGCGAACTACAAACTACAGTAAAAGTACTGGATGCACGAAATTCCCGCTCAATGGGCACTCGATACCCGCTCGAGCGTGAGACACAAGTCCTCGCTCGAGCGTGCATTACCCCACTCGAGCAGATTGTAAACACAGGTAAAGTACTGGATACACGAAATTCCCGCTCGAGCGTCACTTTACCCGCTCGAGTATACTGCATGAACTCAGTATGTACGCTTGAGCGTGGAGTTTCCCGCTCGAGCGTGAGTCCAAAATCTGGAATTTCCAAATTTGAACCTCAAGCTCAAAACTCAACTACAATGCATCAAATTTGATCATTTTGGGTTAATTTTCTGAAAAACACTTGTAAACTCATAATATGACATGTTTCAAAGATCAATTTGAGAAATCAAAGCCCAAAGGTAGTTCAATTAAACACAATTTTCAAATAAACTTTAAGAACATGAAGAACAATGCAAATTCAACACATGCATGGGTTCCTTGAAACTCCAAGGTTCTAAAACAAGATCAAATGCAAGATTTAATTTCAAAACATGGTGAGTTCATGGACTATAACAAAAATGTGGACATGCGTGCAAGAATTTCTATGAAAACAACCTCAAACTTCATGATATACACATGCATGCATGATTTAGCTCTAAATTCAACATTTTAAGCCACAACTAGACTTTTATCACTAATATCACCATGGACCATGCTAGGACAACTCAAATACATAAGTGAGAGGATGAGTCTCCTACCTTAAGTCTTGAATTATAGGTGAGGAAGCTCAATTTTGCAAATCTTCTACCAATTCCTCAAGTCTCTAAGCCAAAACTCTTGTTGAAGCTAAGTTTTCACTTCTCTCATTCTCCTACTCTTTCCTACGTTTTTGGTCTCAAAAAAAATGGCTGAGGGAATGTTATGAAGTGTATGCAATTGAGTTCCAAGCAATGGTACCTAAGTGGCCCACTAATAGCAATGTCGTAAATAATTGAACTAATGTAATTTAACGTTATTTAATCTAATTTAATCACTCAGAACCGAATTTAAATTAAACCTACCATAAAATTCTATAAATCCTAACTAGCACATAAATCAAGTCGATTTCTGATTCGGACGTCGATAAGACTTTCAATTCGCAATTTAAAGTCAAAGACATGAACAGATCATTTTATCGCAAATAGATAGAAACACATAAATAATGCAATACACATGCAAATAAATCCCAAATCCTTCCTAAATTTCTAGTAAGCATAATTAATCATGAATTAGCATTAATCGGAGGTCGGGGTCATTACATAAAGTTAATTTGGTTATAGTAATAATGTCTGAAACTATAACATAATAAATTTTAGAAATTAAATTTTTTTGTATTCAAAAATAAAAATTTTGTTTTAAAAGAATTAAGAGACCGATTCCTACCATCATGAGTCGTCACCAAAAGATCATCTCAAAAAGTCAAACTTTTTAAAAAATATATATCTCTTTTCTTTGTGAAAAAGCAGTACTATTATAATTTTTTTTATAAAAAAAATAGAGGCATATTCCTATTCTCCATATGTTTAGTCCAATAAATAGAAGAGCAGTGATTACATAAATACATGTAAGTGTTGTTATAATGTGTAAATATGGTATTGCCACGTAAGGAATATGGCCAATGGAATACTGCCACATAAGGAATAGTAACTAAACCTTTAATTAATTAGGTATTTTAAAGATGAGTAACAGTGATGAAGATCAATGGAATGATGACCATGATGATGAAGATACTGAAAATGAAGGTAGCACGTTGCAAACCCAACAAAATAATAATATGCTCTTAGCTAAGGCGGCTACAGTTGCAGTGACATAGCAACAAATTATTTGATAAAAGAACCATGTAGGACATCTTGTTTAACAGGAGGGATGTGGATGGTAGAATTACAAGAAGGGAATCAAACAAGAATATTTGAAAATTTTCGAATAGAAAGAGAGGTATTTTATCAATTGTGTAATTTGTTACGGACAAAGTATGGCCTTGAAACTGGATGAAAAGTCTCGGTTCAAGAGCAGGTTGCAATATTTTTGTTTATTGTTGGCGGTGACATTCGAAACAGAAATGTCGAAGAAAGATTTCAACATTCTGGCGAGACCATTTCAAAATACTTCAAGAAGGTGTTAAAGGCTGTTACAATGATGTCCATTGATTGGTTAAGGCCTCAATCGACTAATGGTGTGCATCCATATATCCGACGCAACCACAAATGTTATCCTCATTTCAAGGTAAATAATTAACTACAAGCGCAACTTGTGTGTTACATATAATTAATGTTGGTAGGATATTTCCAATAATCTGTGGCTAAAAATATTTTTATTCACTATTCTGTAATAGGATTGTATTGGACCAATTGATAGAACACACGTCAAAGCATATATATCTCCAGATAAGCAAGCTCGTCTAATAGGTAGAAAAGGGATATGTGACTCAAAACATAATGGCCACGTGTGATTTTGATATGTGTTTAACATTTTGCTTACCAGGATGGGAAGGAAGTGCACAGGATGCTCGGATCTTCTTAGATGTAATTAGGAATCCTAGTTTTAATTTTTCAAAACCACAAGGAGATAACTGTTTTATATTTGATTGCTACAAAAGATGCACCACACTCACATCTTCATATTTATTTTTGCATTTATAATTGCTTACTTTAATTTCATTTTGGAAATTTAAAATAGATGAGTTTTACTTGGTAGATACTGGTTATCCAAACATGAAAGGATATCTTGCACCTTACAAAGGAGAGAGATACCATCTAGCTCAATTTGAACATGGTCAACCCCCTTCCCCCAAAATGCACAAGAAAAATTCAACCAAGCACATTCATCACTTAGAAGTATAATAGAAAGAACGTTCGGGGTTTGGAAAGCAAGATGGCCGATGATAAAGGATATCCCACCAAACTACAAGTGGCCGACCCAAGTCAAACTTGTTTGTGCAACAATGGCAATTCATAATTTCATCCGACGAAATAAGTTTCGCGATATTGCATTTGACTCTTATGATAAATTCACGGATTATGTGCCAAATGAAGAGGAAGGATCTTTGTCTCAACAAGCACGCCATGGAAATGATGTTGCATGTGACGACAACGAGATGGAAGTGAGGAGACATAATATTTGTATGTTGCAGACGAAATTAGGAGTTCTGTAAATATCTATGAAGTTTTATTTTTCTTGCCTTAATAGTAATTTATTGTATTTTTATTGCAATGACATTTTTTTGTTTCCTTGTCAACTCAATTATTAAAAAAAAAATATAAATTTTTTTTGAGGTACTAATTAATGAAATTATTACAAAAATAAAAAAAATAAAAAAAATTATTACAAAAAATAATGAAATGTACCAAATTAGGTACTAATTAATCAACTTCCATTAATGAAATAATTTTTTCAAAATTTAAAGAGAAGAAAATGACAAAAATTACAAAATTTTTGTTCATAAGGGCAAAAATGACAATTACACAGCTAAAAGTTATTTTACAGCTTATTTACCAAACACTACTGTAACGCCCTCAAAATAATGCATATAAACCCAATATTCATGACATTCATAGACATAAGTGAATAAGGCACATTTCCATTCATCACAGTATTATGTACAAAAGTATTACATGTTGACAACAAAAATAAATGCCCTACAGGCTTACAACTTTCCAAGTCAACACTTGGGTTCAACAAAAGAAGAGTTCTAACTCTTTATACAAAATAAGCCCTTGGCTTGAGTTACATGTAATAAAAAAAGATAGTCAACAAAAAGATCTTTCAACCTCTAAGCCTCCCAAGCTATGTCCTTGGAGGTGGCATACCATCTGTACCTGAAAATGATGTCCCATATAGCGTGAGCCAATGCCCAGTAGAGATAAACTAAACCAAGTATGAGAAATAACTAAAACATTAGCATTTGATAAATGATTAACACTTGTAAATCAACTTACAACACATTCCAGTTCCATGACAATATGTCCATATTCATTCCACTTTCCTTTACTTATCCAATTTTCAATCATACACATGGCTCATTATCTAGCCAAATAGTTAAATGAGACTATAACTCATATCAAAACACTTACATTATCCACAATTCAAATGAGACTACAACTCATGTTAAAACACTCCCAATACTTAAATTATCTACGTTACGCAAACATAATTAGAATTTCGGGACTTTCACCCTTGACACTCCGGCCAACTTAGTTATCAATGGAGTTTATCCCCTATCTCTTCCCAAACAGGCTTGAGAGTACATCCCCTATCTCCTCTCAAACCATGGAGTACATCCTCTATCTCCTCCCAAACAATATACATATATAATGTATTTAAACACTCATCATATACAATGATCAATCAATACACATATTCGATGTATTATTCCAACCGTCATATTCAATGACATATTCCAGGTGATTAGTTTCAGTTTTCCCTAATTAACATACAGTGTCTACAACAATCAAGACTATCCTCCACCGATAACCCAAAGCAGTTATTTCTAAACAGATAATAAATTTATCAAACAGATAAAATCTCAACATTTTCATGGGTGAGTGATTCATTTATCCAACTACACCATTCAATTCCATAATTTCCAAATTTCATGATTTTCAACTCAATTTCATAATTCCACATTTTTTTCCAAATTAATTATGCAAATTAATTTATCACATTAATTAGGACATTTTCCCATTTTCTCAAATATTGATCCTAAGACCAAATTCCACCAATTTGACTCACAAACTCATATTCCCAAAGCCTTTAATGCACATGGAGCTTTAAAACACAAAACCCCTCTTTATATAATTTCAATATAAACCCTAATTTCCCCAAATTATCCATAACCCACCATTTATACAAAATACACATTATCTATGTCAAAACCCATAGAAAGGAGTAGGTTATCCCTACCTCAAGAGAAGAGACCCAAAGGAGAAGATGAAGAAAACTCGAGATGATCCAAACCCAAGGATTTTCGGATCAAAATGTAGCCCACACCAAGCTCCACTTTTTTTTTACAAAGAGTCTAGGGTAGAAACACACTAGAACTAGATGGATTTGTAGAGAGAAGGTATGCAGAGAGAGAGGGAGCAGCCGGATCTAGGGTTTGTGTAAAGAAGGTGATGAAAAAGTGAAGTGTAACCCCCTGCTACCAACTGATATATTCGAGGCTCGCTCGAGCGAAGGTGTGGTCACTCGAGCGACTAGACACAAAGAAACCTCGCTCGAGCGTAGAAACCCTCGCTCGAGCCAACAACGTGAACCTTCAGGTCTACAACCCAGAAGCACACTCGAGCAAAAGAATGTTCGCTCGAGCGAAGAAACCCAAAACATAGTCCTCGCTCGCTCGAGCGAAGGAAAGCTCGCTTGAGCCAAGAAATACAAGTCTCAGGTCTAGAACTGGACGCAGACGCAAGCTTGAGCGCAAGACTTCTCGTTCGATCCACCAGACACAACACTCAACTCTCGCTTGAGTAAAGGAACCCTGGCTCGAGCGAAGGAACTAAAACACAGAGCTCGCTCGAGCGACAAAAGTCTCGTTCGAGCGAAGACACCAAAATTTGGGCAGCAACCACTTGTTTCAAAACACACCCAGCCTGTTACAAACCTGCCCAACACATTGTAAAACTCAAACACAAAGAATTGAAGGACGAAAATGAAACACATGCAACAACCGACATCCACAGAACCAAGTCCGGAATACAACAACCAATTGAGGGAAAACCGAGATCGCTATAACCTCCCCCCATTAAAGAATTTCATCCCCGAAATTGGTTACAAGTTTTCAAAATTGTAAATTTACAATTACCAATAGTATTACAATTCAACATTTCACATCCTGACCCATTACCGGTCATCCCATCTCTATTCAAGAGGCAATTTACAATATGATACAACATGCATTATCAACATGCATCTCTTCGAAATTCAACAAGTCTCAATATACATGCCTTACAATTCCATAACATATTCAATGTTAATGATATATTTGCATTTCTACAAGACATTCAACATATACAATGTTAAATTAAACTTCCATTTTCAAGGCATATTCTATGATACTTTCATAAACCGAAACATATACAATATTTTACAACTTAAGACATATTCAATGTTCTTAAAGTTTATCAACACAACAAGATTTTCCAATACATGATTAGACATTAACGAACAAGTTCGAGTATTTCTCACGGACATCCAACTCACGTTCCTAAGTGGCTTCCTCAACCCCGTGATGTTTCCACAAGACTTTTACCAAGGGTATCGTCTTGCCTCGCAAGACTTGATCCCGCCTATCCAAGACCCTCACCGGTCTCTCCTCATACGAGATATCCTCATCAACCTCTAAGTTGGTCCAATCCAATACATGTGACGGATCCGGCTCGTACTTCCGAAGCATACTAACATGAAATACGTCATGCACTCCGGACAACTGTGGCGGCAAAGCTAAATGGTAGGCAACCTCGCCAATCCCCTCAAGGATCTGGAAAGGACCAATAAACCGAGGGGACAACTTCCCACTCTTACCAAACCTCATCAAATTCCGCCTAGGTGATATTTTCAGAAAGACATGATCACCCACCTCAAATGACCAAGGCCTCCTTCTACGGTCGGCATAACTCTTTTGGCGACTCTGGGCTGTAACAAGCCTCCTACGGATAAGCTCAACTTTCTTCATCGTTTCCCGCACCAACTCCGGGCCCAACAAAGGTGCATCACCCACCTCGGCCCAACAAACTGGATGCCTACACGGTCGGCCATACAAGGCCTCAAACGGTACCATACCAATACTCGATTGGAAACTGTTGTTGTAGGCAAACTCCACTAAGGGCAAGTGCCTTTCCCATGACCCACTAAAGTCAAGGACATAGCCTAGAAGCATATCCTCAAGGATCTGAATAGTACGCTCGGACTGCTCGTCAGTCTGAGGATGGTAGGCCATGCTAAAGGTCAATCTAGTGCCCAAGGCACTCTACAAACTCTGCCACAACCTAGCAGTAACGCGTGGATCTCTATCTGAGACGATCGACACTGGGACCCCGTGCAACCTCACTATGTCCTGAATATACAAGTTGGCAAGATGATCTACCGAATCTGTCACGCGCATAGGGATAAAGTGCGCCGACTTAGTCAACCGGTCTACAACCACCCAAATAGCATCACTACCCCGCTGAGTCCTCGGAAGACCTACAACGAAGTCCATCATGACAGGCTCCCACTTCCACTCGGCAATAGGCAAGGGTCGCAACAAACCTGGTGGCCTCTGATGTTCGGCCTTCACTTGCTGACAAGTAAGGCACTTAGACACAAAAATTGCCACATCCTTCTTCATACCCCGCCACCAAAACTGGCGACCCAAATCATGATCCATCTTAGTGCCTCCCGGATGCACCGCAAGGTGTGAATGGTGAAACTCTCGGAGTACCTCCTCTCAGCAAGACTCCGGCACAAACAGACGGTCTCGGTACCTCACACTCAGGTCCAGATACATAGTCAAACCCTTCTCAACCTTCCCACTGGAGATCTTCTCCTGGAGGGATTCTACCTCAAGGTCACTCCCATGTGCCTCTAACACTCAATTCATAAGTGTAGGCTGCGCAACTATAGAAAACAAAGCCGCAGACTCGACAGATTCGCCCTGGAGCAAATCAAACTCGCCAAGTGCACCCAACATTTCCCACTCCCGGATGGCTATACAAGCTACATCACTGATGTATTTCCTGCTAAGGGCATCGGCCACAACATTGGCCTTCCTCGGATGGTAATGCAACTCGAAGTCGTAATCCTCAATAAACTCCATCCACCCCCTCTGCCTCAAATTGAAGTCTTTCTGTGTAAACAGATACTTCAGACTCTTATGATCCAAGAACACCTCGAATCTCTCACCATAAAGGTAGTGCCTCCAAATCTTCAAGGCAAAAATCACAGCTGCTAACTCTAGGTCATGTGTAGGGTAATTCCTCTCGTGTATTTTCAGCTGCCGCGAGCCATAGGCTACCACTTTTCCTTCTTGTATCAACACACAACCGAAACTCTCTCGTGAAGCATCACAATAAACTGCATAACCCAAACCTCTCTCTGGAATAATCAAAACTGGAGTGGTGGTGAGTCTAACCTTAAGTTATTGGAACGACTTTTCACAAGTCTCACTCCATACA